CTAATTGGGATCCTCCTATTTGAAACCAGTGCCTCCCCTCAACTTGAGCACTATATTATAACTTGTCCTTAACTGTTTTGGCAATTACACAGACACCATCAATTCGTCTACCACCTATTACATCAGCAAAAACATAATCTTTTTCCTTACTCTTGAAACAAAATAAAGACAATAAAACATATAAAACCTCCCTGCTTCTGTTGATCCCATTTCTCCTGCAAACTACTGCTTCATTTCTCTAATTATTCTCATTGCACATTCTATATAAACTCACTTCAAACAGGCTTTTGCCTACCACTTCATCAAAACTGTTTGTTGAGATTGATTACTCATGATCAATTTTCAGACTTGATGTGCCCTACTTGCAGCATTTGACACAAATGTTCACTCTCCTCAATTCAAATCAGTACACACATTTTCTTTTTTAAGTCTATCAGACAATTCAAACTTGAAGTCTGACAAGTTATCTTTTGAAACATCCCTGACCACATTCACAACTCAAAATCCTCTTGAATGAATGCTTTCACTTTTCCAAAAGTTTCTAATGTAAATACTTTCATTTTATTAATTTGTTTCTATATTTCTGCTACAACTTAATCACCCTGAGGCAAAGGAAAGTCCATCTATTTTACTCACTGATATATATATCAAGTGCCTACGAAACTGTCTGGCACTAGTAACTATTCAATTTGATATACAAATATGTGTTGATGTTGAAGTAAATGACTATAATCCAAGGTAATAGATTTTTTAAAACTCTATTAAGAAAAAATTTTACAAAAATAACAAAAGGTTGTAATCTTATTTTAAGGACAATTATCTACTGTCAACTGCTATAACGGTGAAATTAACGTGTTTATACATTGGGCCATACCAAATACTTTGTTGTTAATATATTGTAGCTATTTATTGTTATATAAACTTTGCATAAATGTTTAGTCTAGTTTTATATAAAATAAATTCAAAATCACTACCTGTCATTTTACCAATTTCTCCATTCTTTACTGGTTTCACCTTTTTGGTTTGCTTTATTAATTATGAAACATCAACTCCATAACTCACAAGTGCTAAAATCCCAAAATTGTAGATAGTTGAGAATGTCTGTCTTTAATTTGGACTTGAATAAGTTTGCTGGGTATAAAATTAATTCTTTCTTTTCTTTTCTTTTTTGGTATCTGGCCAGTACAAGGTTAGAACCCTGGATCTTGGTGTTAATAGCACCACTCTCTAACCAACTGAGCTAGCTGGCCAACCCCTGGTTATAAAATTCTAGGCTACAGTTTCCTCAGAATTTTCAGACCTTGTTGCACTGTCTTATAACACTGAATATTTTGATGTGGGTACCCATACTTTATCCTTAAATTTACTAATATAACTGATTATAGATTGGTGGTTTTATCACCCTGTCAATTTCTTAGAAGAAAAATGAATTGTTTTAAAAGATTTCAGTCATTTTTTATATTAAAATGTCATTTACATGTCAGAAAATCTGTCCTTTCACAGTGTATATACAATTAGTAATTTTTAGAAAATTCACACAGCTGTGTAGGCATCACTACTATCTAATTCCATATTTCCATTATCCTCAAAAGGAACCTCCATACCCTTTAGCTACCCCCATCCTCAAACCCTATCTGCCAGAAGCAGACAATCATTAAATTACTTTTTGTCTTTACACTATACCTATCCTAGACATTTGATATACTTCCTATATTTAGCACGTTTTTAAAGTTCATGTATCCATGTACCATGTATCAATGCTTCATTCCAAATATTTCACTGTTCTTACCAAGATTTAGCCTTTTTGCTTTAATAAACACTCCCTGTGTTGCTACAAGCTTTCATTTAGTTTTCAGAGTTCTGAAAATTTATTCTAACAATTTTTACCAGTGCTTTTGCTGTTTGTATAGAGGAGAAAATTTTCAGCGATCCTTATTATGCCATTTCCACTGACATCCTCTAATCATTATTAATTTCAGGAAAACCTTCTCCTATAGTTTTCTGTCACATTAGTTGTTTTCTTTTTTCTGTATGTGGGTTTCACTTCCTTTTTTTGTCTCCCACATCTGTCCATGCATGTTCTCCGTAACAATTTTTATAACTATTTTTAACAATTTCATTTTTGTAATATTTTAAAGCCTGATCACAAAATCCCCAATTATAGTTGGACACATTTATTTTTATTCCTGCTTCTCAGAGTCTTTTACCTTTAAGATGTTTTTATTTTTCCTTTCTGCTTCTTTCTTAAATTCTAAGTTTAATTTCCATCTCCTTTTCTGCCTTATAATTTCTCCTTTGAAATGTGTCATGTCCACTTGAAGGTTTTCTAAATACAATTAAAGTTCTTACATAAAAACCATTAATTCTAGTCTGATGAACAAAAACCTCTTTACAAATTTTATCATAACTTTAAACATACTCCCTAAGTTACCCTTACTCACTTTTCAGAAATAGTCCTTTGGGACTTTTCTTAAAGTTCCAAAATTTTGTTTTACCAAATGGATTTAAAAAACAAACAAAAAAACTGCTAGAGGGCTTAAAATAGTAAGATACGTATATATCCAATAATTAGCTATGGGAAAAGTAATAAACAAATATATGAACTAGGTGGTCCTTGGATAAGGCATGGTATCCAGATAATTTCAGCTACAAATTTCATATAATTGTTTATTCAATAAATATTTCACACCTAATATGTATAGGTTTGAGGGGAACACTCATATGTGACTAATAAGACACATCAAAGCCTGTTTCCTCAAGAAGGATATCAATTTAGAAACAATGGTAACATCTAGACTACAAAGACTCTGTAAAGAAGTCATGTTTACCTCAACAGCGGTTACATTATAACAATGGGCACTGATGTCCTGTTGCCATAAAAAATGATGACTCTTTCTGTCTTTGTTTTAGGTGAGAATTTAGAGGGGAAAAACCTGCCATTACAGACTTAAAAAATAAAGTAGGCTTTTAGATCCAATAACATATTGCAAGTTTTTATAAAGAGTACTTAGACATCTGTTCAGTAACCTACATATATTGAATAAATATTTCAAAAGAATTCAGAGATATTACCATGTCTCATGATATTATGAAAAGCATTAAAGTTGATTATCAATAACAGTATCTCTCAGTTTTCTCTATCAAGTACAAAATCAGACCACAGTTCCTCTCTGCACTTATCAAAAACCTGTCAATCCTAAATAGACTTCCCCACCCAATATGGTTTTAAAATACAAATGCTGCATTAGAGTAAGTATCTTTTCTGCAAGGAAAAAATAGGATACTATGCAAGGAAAAAATAGGATACTAAGAAAACTGAAATACCTAGAAAAATTCACAATATAAAAATATTCATTATTACACTTTTGGAGAGTTATAATAAATACTACTGCTCTCTCTCCTTCCTTCTTTCAAACCAGATTACTCAAGGTTAAAAACTGTAAATTATTATTCTTAAACACCTAAACACTTTATCTAGAACAGCCTTTACACAGAGAAAGAATTTAATAAATGTTTATTAAATCAGTACAAACAAACTCTTCACAGTTACTAAGCAAGTTCAGGTAGAGGTAAAAACTGTTATTATCAGAAAACTAGGACATGAAGGTATACATAATCATAAAAGAGGTAAATAAATGCCTACTCTCTCTGCCCCGAGTTCTATTACTACAAATCTCTTTTGCTGAGCTTTGCTCAAAGACTTGGGGTGGGGTAGGGTGTGCTCATGTTTATTATTTAGTGGGTACACTTTAAACTCATCTGTACTATAAAACTTCATTCCAAAGACTCTAGTAGTCACAGGAACTGATCAGTTAGGAAAATTAAGTTATCTAAACCAGCAGATAAGTGACATTATTCTATACAACTGGAACTATGTTAATGTATAGAACATATTTAAATATTAAAGCTAGAAATATTAAGAGACACTCATTCAGAAATTATAGTAATACAGAATGATTATAACTGCTACTTAAAAAAAACTATATTCAATCACATCCTGGTTGATAAAGTAGTCAACACAATCAAGAAAGCCAGCATCCTGTAAGTAACAGTGAATAGAGTATAAAACCAATATGATATTACATTTCTAACCCATTTGCAATCTACATAAATCAGTTTTAATGGTCATAACTACTTTATTTTCAAAACATTCAACTGATTTAACTACAACGCAATAATAAACTTTAAAAAAAGTCATTACTTTGGGCCGGCCTGGTGGCGCACTGCTACAGTGTGCCGCTTGGGAGCATGGCGGAGCTCCCACCGAGGGTTCGGATCCCACATACAGACCAGTTCCTGCTCACTGGCTGAGCGAGGTGTGGGCGCGACACCGAGGGTTGTGATCCCGTTGCCGGTCCCAGCCCGGTACGGGTGCGACACTGAGGGTTGCAATCCGTTGCCGGACACGAAAAAAGACAAAAAGGAAAAAAACAAAAACAACAACAACAAAAAAAAGTCATTACTTTGAAGGAAAAAGGACAATGGGTGGAAGAAAATAAAAGTGTAGATGCAACTCTGTGATTAAAAGATGTATTTTGGGGGGCTGGCTAATTAGCTCAGTTGGTACAGCATGGTGCTGATAACCCCACAGTCAAGGGTTTGCATCCCTGTACCAGCCAGCCACCAAAAAAAAAAAAAAAAAAAAAAGATATATATATTTTAAAGTGAATCCCTCTTAACTTTCAGTAATAACTCTGATAAGGTGGGTAACAGTCCAATTACACTTATCATGATTTCATAAATTCAATCTTGTTCTTTTCAACCTTGACCTTTCTCATCTTTCTATTCCATCTTTATGTAGAAATTAAATCTTTACTCTGTACCACTTCACATAATTATAGCTTATTTTATGGGATCCAAACTGAAACTACAAAGCATGCTGGGTCTAAGATGTACCTTAATTTTACAGAAGTTTAAGTCATGAAAATTTCACCGTAATATTTTTTAGAAAAGGAAGGTTTCAAAAATATTGCTGACAATCAACGTATCCCAAAACTTACATGAAATCATAAGGTAGTCTTCACAGTTGCCTCTGTCATTGTCTTGCTGGTCCACATGGATCCCATTGGCATCTATGACTGCTTCAGAGGCACAATCTGCTACCAGTACTTCTTCTGAAACTACATCAGTAGTCAGAGGATCAGTGATGATTTCTGCTTCTACTACACTATCATGAACCACATGTTCAACTTGTCCAACATCAGATATATGCACAGAGTCACTTGTCAAGATATGTTCTGGCATAGACACTGAAGCTGAAGTAATGTCAGCAGCTAAAACATCATCTGAGACTGTGCGATGTACTAAAGAAACTTCTTCAGTTACAACTGAGTCCAGCATTGGCTCAGGAATGATGACATTTTCAATTATATCTGCTTCTTCTAAGACATCTGAGCACTGAACATCCTCTATAACAACATCTTCAATAACATCTTGTATTACAACTGAGCCTGGGTCATCAGGAACAAAGTTATGTGTAGTAATGTCTGAATGCACAATATTAGAAACAAAAACAGCTTCTTGTACTGCCACAACAATTTGATCACCATCCATGTGTGTATCATCAGCTCCTTAAAAAAGTAAAAATTGAAATGACAAATTTCAGGTAACTATGCACAATTATCTCACATAACATAAATATTATTTAATTTTTATCTTCTCAGTGTTCCTCAAACATAAAAACAGATTAAAGAAATAAGGAGGAGGGCCGGCCCGGTGGCGCACGGGAGAGTGCGCCGCTTGGGAGCGCGGCAGCGCTCCTGCTGAGGGTTCGGATCCCATGTGGAGACCGGTTCCCGCTCACTGGCAGAGCGCGGTGCGGGTGCAGCACCGAGGGTTGCGATCCCGTTACCGGTCAGTAAAAAAGACAAAGAGGAAAAAAAAAAAAAAGAAAGAAGGAGGAGATCCATTTTTGATTTGTATAAGAAATAGAAATTTTTAATACAAGAGCTTTTTTAATTCAATCCTAATCAATAACAGGTAAAGAAATACTAAGAAAACAAAAAACTTGGGCAGTTACAGAAGAAAAACACTCCTAAAGTAAAATTTAGAATATCGACATAAAAAATTTCCCAGGACACTAAAATAAAATCTTAAGGAATTTATTTACAGAAACTAAGCAAGTTAACACAAACTCAGAAAACAAATTTTCCTTCATTACATATTTCATTTTTTCTTCTTTCTGCATCTCCTTTTTTAACACATCAGTTTTCTTCTTTTCATCACACCTACATATGTCTTTTTTAACCATTTTTTTTTTCACTCTTTTTTATTTTCCCACTTAGTTCTGGTGCAATATCCCACCAATTCTCTCTCTGACTCTGGAAGTTATAAAATCATTCTTTGACTCTAAAACATAAAAGCAGCAGGGTATAAATGAAAAGAGGGATACAAAGTCACAGTTAAGAAAGGAAAGACAATTGGTTAAAGAAGCCTATGTGGTAGATAAAATGAATAAAAGTACAGCTGGGCTGGGGTAATGGAGACTGAAGATACTTGGAATGGGGTCTGCCATAACTTCACCAGGGCACTCCACCTCCAATTAGCTTCCTCCCATACCACCCAAACCCCAATCCTCAATGCAATTCTTCAGAATATTAAAAACCCTACTCTAATCCACTCAGCAGTTAAGAAATAAAGGTAGACCAATAAACCAATTAAAGCCCATTGAGATTAAATGACTTAATAAACTTTATCCAATTTACACACTGTACAGTTTCAATAAATTACTCTAAATAAATGCCACGAGTGAGAACAGAATTGATGTATCTTTACTAGAAATATAAAATAAAATAAAATAAAATAAAACAATCTATGTATCATGGCTCCTAGTCCACAGAAAAGCAAACATGGAACATTTACATTAAAAACCATTCAGGTGGTGAGTGCTTCTGGTTTTAACTCAGACTAGACTGAGTTCAAGCAGGTGCCTAACTCAATAACTGTTTCCCTGGCCACGCCCTCAGAGAAACACAGCTTCTTCAACAAACAAGAAAAGCCAAGAATAATAAAAGTTGCAGGAAATCTTTAAAGTTAGTTAACATCCACTTGAATTACATACAGAAATAATCATGAGAAAACGTTTGCTTTTACTTCTACAGAACTTCAACAAAATGCTTTATACTCATTTGTCTTCAGCATTAATAATAATTCACAACACACACTAGATCAATATAATTGTTAGTGCATAGACGTAAATGTGAAAGCATTTAGTGGCAACAGCGTTGGTTAAAATGGTCTAAATCAGAGTGCAGGGTTTAGACACATTAGTTTTGTGACCTTGGGCAAGTCATTTAACCTCTGAGTTTCAGTTTCCTCATCAATAAAATGAGGAAAGTAGTATTTGCCATGAATACCTCACAGGTCTGTGATGATGATCAAATAAGAATGTATGGAAAGTGTCCTGAAAAACTGTAATGAGAGGTTTCATTATTATTATGCATATAAAAATAGAGGCCCTGGTAGATTAAGTGACTTGCTCAAAGATTAACAAATACCATTGTGTTAAACATCAGCACAAAAATGTATTAGCTCTTCAATCTACCACTTGGCTTATGACCCAGGCTTTCCTGTGGCAAAATTAAGCTGATAAATACTATGAGTTTTCCTCTGAAGCAAAGTCCCTCTTTTAGGAACAATTAATTATACTTTACCATGTTCTAGAAAGAAAAAAAATTATAACTTTGCATTTGCCATTATCAAACTTAAATTACCAAATTTGAGTCAAAAGACTATCCCAAATTGTTTAAGAAACACACACACTTATTTAGCAACAACAGCGGTACTTAAAAAAATCTGTGGAAAACTGGAATTTAAAGACAGTACAAATATAAAAGAACTTTTAACAAGTGAATCTTTTGAAGTACCTTTGGATATTAAAAATTCCTTATTTTTCTTGGTAAAATTAATTACTATTGCTTTCATAAAGGCAATATAATCATTTAAAATTCAATTAATAAGTTCATTTAAACTTTAACTCACAAGAGCAGCTATATAATAAAAAACATAAAACCTAATGCAATCATTTAACAATATTACGTACTTACAGTAATCAGTAATCTGAAATTGCAAACACTTTTTTTCCTACTGTTAGAACTTCCTTCCTATATAAACATAATTTTCCTTATGAAGTTTGGGGAATGAGGTAAGACTCCACCTGCCTAACACAGAGGTTCCTTTTTGGAATATGTGAAAGACTGGGGCTGCAAAAGTAGGACCTTTACCTCCTGGGCAACGGAGAACAGAGAAACGTGATTCACGTGTTATTCTGTGACAAATTTACTACTGATGTGGTAGATTAAAGAGAGAAACTAAGAATGAGGAAAATAGTAAATATTATAGACTTAGAATGAGACAACAGAGCCTGAACTATGTAGAGGAAACTGGCAAGAAAAGCAGTGTGGTAAACAGACTTCCCTCACCTCCCCATCCAATCTACACTACTCTCCAACTCACCCAAAGTGTTGACACTCTATCATTGTAAACTGTGAATATGATATGTTATGGGGCTTACACAACATGGATTTTGCAGATGTAACCATGGTTACAAATCTTAAGATGAGGTGATTATCCTGGAAAATTTGGGTGGGCTCAATCTGATCAGATAAATCTTAAAACAGATAACTTGATATGGCTGGAGTAAGAAAGTTGAAGCAGAATGATAACTTAGAGAGATTTCAAGTGTGAGAGAGACTCAAACTGCAATTGTTGGAAGGAGCTACATGGAAAGCATGAAAAAGAACACAGACAGCCACAAAGAGCAAAGACCAGCCTCTCACCTGACAGCCAGCATGGAAATGAGGACTTCAGGCCTGTAACTATTGAGAAACTGCATTCAACCAACAATCTGATTTAGCTTCAAATCAGATTCATCCCCAGAGAGCCAGAAAGGAACACAATTCTGCCAACCACTTAATTTCAGCCATGTTTATAGTTTCCACAACTATGTTTATAGTAATGGAAAAGCATAGTACTATAAAATTATTCACAGTTCACAGATTTTGGTACTGAGAATTAAGTGCTACTGTACAAATACCTAAAAATGTGAAGTATCTTTGCAGTCAGAGTGAAGGCAGGGAAAATTCTGATGAGCATGATGAGAACAGCACAGATTCTCTTAAATAGACCAATACTAGAAATATAAATTTTAATAACTCTGCTAGTGAGAACTCAAAAGAAAGAAAGGATTAAGATGTGGGCTCAGAATATACCTAACTCAACATGTACAGATGGTTCATAGAAATATAGACTTTAATAATACTGTTGGTGAGGATTCAAAAGAAGTGAGAAACATTACTGGAAAATGAAGGAAACTGAACACACATACCTTTGTTATATAATGGCAGACCACTGAGCAAAACTGGACACTACAATTATTTTTTGTGGAAAGCACAATTTGTAACAACAAACTCAAACGTTTAACTTGGGAAATTTCTTCAGTGTTGTAGATAGGGCCTTGTTTCTTCTCACTGCTTACAGCAAAATTCAATATGAGAAATAAATTGTCGGAAGATATTAAACAGAGAGATAGCAGAACTTGACAATTCGGGAAACTGTCACCCTATCCAGACTGGGAGGAAAAAGTTAATATTAAGAAGATTCATTGTCATGGAAAAATTTCTAGAGAAAATGGGCCGGCCCAGTGGCGCACTGGATAGTGCGCCGCTTGGGAAGCGCGGCGGCGCTCCCGACCGAGGGTTCGGATCCCACATACAGACCGGTTCCCACTCACTGGGGATGAATCTGATTTGAAGCTAAATCAGATTGTTGGTTGAATGCAGTTTCTCAATAGTTACAGGCCTGAAGTCCTCATTTCCATGCTGGCTGTCAGGTGAGAGGCTGGTCTTTGCTCTTTGTGGCTGTCTGTGTTCTTTTTCATGCTTTCCATGTAGCTCCTTCCAACAATTGCAGTTTGAGTCTCTCTCACACTTGAAATCTCTCTAAGTTATCATTCTGCTTCAACTTTCTTACTCCAGCCATATCAAGTTATCTGTTTTAAGATTTATCTGATCAGATTGAGCCCACCCAAATTTTCCAGGATAATCACCTCATCTTAAGATTTGTAACCATGGTTACATCTGCAAAATCCATGTTGTGTAAGCCCCATAACATATCATATTCACAGTTTACAATGATAGAGTGTCAACACTTTGGGTGAGTTGGAGAGTAGTGTAGATTGGATGGGGAGGTGAGGGAAGTCTGTTTACCACACTGCTTTTCTTGCCAGTTTCCTCTACATAGTTCAGGCTCTGTTGTCTCATTCTAAGTCTATAATATTTACTATTTTCCTCATTCTTAGTTTCTCTCTTTAATCTACCACATCAGTAGTAAATTTGTCACAGAATAACACGTGAATCACGTTTCTCTGTTCTCCGTTGCCAAAGACAAAAAAAAAAAAAAAAAAAAATTTCTAGAGAAAAAACAGTACATGACTCTACAACTGTTCTCTGAAACTTCAGAAAAATCAGAAGGTAAAAGATTTCAGAGTCTCTATGAAGCAATTAAAGGTGACTTATGGACATATACCTCAATCAAACCAAGGTGCTTCTAAGAATTGTCCCTCAGTCATCTCAGCAGAATTCAAAAGTAGAGAGAGGATTATCTCAAAAAGATGTGGTGAGCTTCTTATGTAATGCAATAAATCTACATGACATACACAAAATTCTTCAGAAAATTATTCCAACAGAAACATGCTAGTTTGGACTAAAAGAGACAGACAAAAGTACAATGTAAGGAAGGCTCTGGAACCTCAAAATTTTAGGGGCAGGACTTCAAATTATGCTACAAAGTTATAGTAACTAAAACAGCATAGTACGGGCATAAAAACAGTCACTCATACCAATGGAACCGAACACAGAAATCAACACACATACTTACTGCCAATTCATATTTGACAAAGGCACCAAGAACATATATTTGGGAAAGGACAGCCTCTTCAAAAAGTGCTTTTGGGAAAATTGGAAATCCATATATAGAAGAATTAAACTAGACCTATACCTCTCACCATATATCAAAATCAACTCAAAACAGATTAAAGACATATATAAGACAGCAAACTATAAAACCAGTAAAGGAAAACACATGACAAACACTTCAGGAAGTAAGACTGGGCAAAAACATTACAAACAAGACCCCAAAAACACAGGCAGCAAAATAAAAAACAAATAGGATTATATCAAACTAAAAAGCTTTTGCATAGCATAAGAAACAGTTAAAAGAGCGAAAAGACAACCTACAGAACAGGAGAAAATATTCGCAAACTATGCAACCAACAAGGGATTAATACCCAGAATATACAAGGAAATCAAATAACTTAACAGGAAAAAAACAAGTAACCTGACTAAAAAATAGGCAAAGGAGTTGAAGAGACATTTCTCAAGAAAGATATAAATGACCAACAGGTACCTGAAAAAATGCTCAATATCACTAAGCATCAGGGAAATGCAAATCAAAACCATACTGAGATGGGCCGGCCCGGTGGCACACTGCTACAATGCGCCGCTTGGGAGCACGGTGGCGCTCCCGCCGAGGGTTCGGATCCCACATACAGACCGGTTCCCGCTCCCTGGCTGAGCGAGGTGTGGGCGCAGCACCGAGGGTTGCGATCCCGTTGCCGGTCCCGGTCCGGTGCAGGCGCGACACTGAGGGTTGCGATCCATTGCCGGACACGAAAAAAGACAAAAAGGGGAAAAAAAAAAAAACCATACTGAGATATCACCTCATGCTAGTTAGATTGGCCAGTATCCAAAAAGACAGAGAACAACAAATGCTAGTGAGGATATGGAGAAAGGGGAACCCTCCTATCATGTCAGTGGGACTGTAAAAGTGCAGCCACTGTGGAAAACACTATGGGAGTTCCTCAAACAACTACAGATTGAACTGTCATACAACCCAGCACTCTGCTGGGTGTATACCCAAAGAAACGGGAATCATCACATTGAAGGGATACTTGCACTACAATGTTTATCGCAGCTCTAGTTACAATAGCTAAGAGATGAAACCAACCTAAATGTCCATCAATAGATGACTGCATAAGGAAAATGTGGTACAATATACACAATGGAATGCAGCTCTGCCATAAAAAGAAATGAAATTCTGCTATTCACAGTAACATGGATGAACCTGGACTAAATTATGTTAAGTGAAATGAGCCAGATACAGAAAGAGAATAACACATGCCCTCAACTCCTAAGTGGGTGCTGGAAAAGAAAAAAAAAAGAAAGAAAGAAAGATACAACAATTACAATAATTCCTTGAACTTTGAAAAGGAAAGAATGGAACTGAGGCCACCAGAGGCGGGAAAGGGGTAGGGGTCAGTTAGGGAGAAAGTGGTATTAAAGGGCCCCAAAAAATGTTTACATGTTTAGTAATGATTAAAAAAAAATTACGGGCAGGAAGCAGGCTGAAAAAACTATTCCACTGCAAATGCCAATTCATTATATTTGATGAAAATAGCAAGAAAGATTCAAAGGGGGAGCCACAGGCCACAGAGTTATTACCAGGTCTTGAAAGCTAATGGATTTTGCTCGGCTGAATTTTGAAATTTCTTTCAATTCACAGTGTTTGAACCAGAATTTCCAAACTGTTCAACCACTGTATGTTGGGAGCTGATAAGTTGTATCTAATAACTAATACTCAGAATATCATAAGCACCTGGTTTAGACATTGTGAGACTTCTGAACTGCTTAAGATGAGATTTTTGGAATGGTAACCTTGGGAAAGAACAAATTTATTTTATTTTGGGAGGGACATAAATGAGGATCAAAGTGTACACAGTGGTAGACAGAATGGACCCACAAAGATATCCATACCCTAACCCCTGGATCTTGTAAATATGTTATGTGATACAGCAAGAGATTCTGCAGATATAATGAAGATAAGAAACCTAATATTGGGAAATTATACTGAATTACCTGGGTATGTCCAATCTAATCACATGAACTCTTAAAAGAAATAAATTTTTTGGCTGGAGTCAAGAATAGCTAGCTGACGGAACGGAAGGTCAGAAAGATTCAAAGATTGAGAGGGACTTAACTCGTGTTGCTAAAGACAACCACACACAAAGCATGAGAATGTGGGAAGACTGTAGAAGAAAAAAATGGCCCTGGCTGATAAGTTGTAGGAAACAAGAAACAAAGAATTTCATTTTTATAACAAGGAACTAAATTTGGCCAAAGTTATGAATATTCTTAAAAGTACATTCTCCCTCACTAGCCTACGGAAAGAAATACAGACCTACAGACACCTTGATTTTGACCTCGTAAAATTCTACACAGAGAAGCCAGTTGAGTCACATTTTTCCCTGCACTCTGACCTACTGAACTCTGAGATAAATTTGCCTTGTTCTTGGGTCAGTAAATTTGCAAAAATGCATTACTGAAGTAGAAAACACTTTCTAGGTGAGAACTAATAGGACTTAGTTGTACTGGGAAAATGAGAATAACTGAAATAACAGTAATATTTTTATACTGATGGTGTTACTAACAAGATCATGAGTTAGTTGGCTATGAGCTTTTGACAGGATAACAAGGTACTTGAGTATGAATCAATATCATATCTAGCAATTTATCCCCCTGATAAACAAATATAGTGGATAGGAAGCCGAACAACCCCCAAAACAGTTATACCTATTCCATCAAAAAATGAGTTTGGCTCCTGTTGCTGCAATTCAAATTCATCTTCATCCATGGTCTTTAATTCTCATTAGTCACAGCTCCTAAACCTGGGAATAAAGTATACCAGAAATTAATTTTTTATATCACATATTAAAATCATCATGATATTTACACTTCTGAAATGCTATAATTGTTTGGTTTATCAATCACCTATCAAGGTAAAATAAAAGGGATCAAACTGATTAAGATAAAAGGCAGCTAAATCATACAGGCTGCTAGTGTCTTGGGTTTTTAAAAAATCAACTATGATCTAATATAAAATGCTTTCTCATTTGTTCCCATGTTTTTAACTACCACTTGCATAAAGATGATTTCCCAAATCCATACACTTTAGGAAGGACATAACACTTCTACCAGACTGTCTGCTAACATTTTCATATGGATAAAACCCAGAGGCTGAGCCTGTGGCGCACTCGGGAGAGTGCAGCGCTCCCACCACGGGTTCAGATCCTATATAGGGATGGCTGCTGAGTGCGGTGCGGCTGGTCTCAAAAACAAAAAACCCAAAAAACCCAGTGTTCTCCTTCTATGATGACTATGGTCTTTTCCTCTTTTCCTGTCTCCTGGGTTGCCAAATCTTGCCAATTCCTTCTCTACAGCTCCTCAGGTATCTCTCCCTTTCTCTTATTCCGATTATCACCATTCATTCTCAGCTTTATATTTTCTGGTCCCTGGAGACAAAAACAGCTTTTTTTTTTTTTTTTTTTAAATCCACTTAATAACAAAGACTAGAAACCCTCCTGTAAGAAAAGGGCTGGCTCCAAGTACAAAAGTATTCCTATATTCTATAGGTAGATTAATGCATTAATAATGGTACACAAAACCCCCTGCTCAGAAAATTTAAGCAGTACTCTAATATTCAGGGGGCTCTACAATACTAACATGAGCTACCATAAGAGACATTTTATTTTATTATTCAATTTTGTAGCCTAAGTGAACAGCGTATCATTCTTCAAACAAACCTTATGTGCCTCCTTACCACTCTACCTTGGCACTTACATTCCAAAGTTTTCTGGAAGGTGTGATCTCTAAAAAAGTGAAGCTACGCCTATTCAATTTTCATGACTAGGGGTAAGAACTGCACAAATACTTACATATGCAGGAAGACAGTGTTGATGTCAGTGATCTAGGGATGTGGTAATATCTACTCATTTATGTAACCAAAGTTTAATGACAGATAACTTAATTCTGGTCTAATCTTTATAAATCAAGCATTAAAAGGAAAAAAGAGTTCTAACAAGTAAGAAACCAACCACTAACTGCTACAACTTAGGACTCTATTCAGCAAAGACAGCTACTAATTAAAAACTTTAAATGTGAAGGTCAGCTGTAATTTTTACATCACATGTATTTCCTAATAAAGTCTGGCCTATGAGAGGAGCAGCCCACTGATTCTACTTTCACTAAAATGAGCAAACACTATTCAACAATGCATTTAACTGGATATTTTCCTCTCAGTTTCTTCAAGGTTAAAGCTGATACAAGCGAAAGAGATTTCTTTTTCTTTCTTTCTTTTTTTGCATTTCAAAGCAAAGAGGATCATGTCTTTTCTTCAGTAAACTCTTCTTGGGTTAGAACTGCTCATTCCCTCCAACAACCAGAATGAAATCATATTCTTAAGTGGAATTTACTCAAAAGAGTTCCCACAGTAGTGATAAAATGAAGGTGAAAGAATGTAACCTGATGATTTAATTGAAATAGCCCCATGCCTTTGCAGCTTAGAGATCAAGTGAAGATAAGCAGAATGATCCAGATCACTAAGAGTCTAAAAATTAATTTAGGTAAATAAGAACTAATGTTAAATCTGGGTATCAAATGCCCTAAAAACTTCCACTTTGGGTCCCCAATATTACCTCAAAGTCAGTTTAAGATGCTTTCCCCACGTTGTAAGATTCACGACCTAGACCTTGGAAATTAAGACCATGAACTTCCTGAGAATTCACAGTTGAAAAAATTTAGTTTTAAGAAAAATAGAGGATTGAATTAAATAGAGGAAATACACAAATAAAATAAAACAATTAAAAATATCAAGTCAATAGCATAACAATAATATGTTATCTAAAGGTAACAATTACTATAATTTACTTAAATTTTATAGCTTATGATGCCCGTCAGACACTTTCCTGTTATTTCTCTTGGGCAAGTTTCAAAAAATCATTTGTGTATCACACTGTTCTTACTTTTTGCAAAGTCTATGGTTATTATAATACATGTAAAAATCATTTTTTCTGATTCTAATTTCCCCAACATATATTAATGCTTTTTAATATTATTACTTTATTGTAAGTTCCTCTAACTTAAGTCATGGTCATAAAATAAAAATTTATATTATGCTAGACAAAATCACTCAAATGGCTGGAAAACGAAAGAGAAGTAAATCTGTCTATAACATAATTTTTCATAAAATTTATGGCAAGAAGTTGAGTTAATAACAAGCATTTATTTTGTGATGATTAATAATTCGCCAGAGCAAAGCCAAGAATTCAGCTTAATTTTTTTCTAAAAATCCAAACGTGGCTCTTTTGTGGGGTGTGGTATAAAGAAGAGAAAACAAAAAAAGGTTAAAAGCTAGTAAACTAAGAAAAGGGAAATAAACTGGAAGAAACCACAAACATGAATTTTAAAATGGAGTTGAAAAGATCTACTGGGAAGTATAAGTTACCAGTATTAATCTAGGAAGAGACAGCCCAACCAATCATCATGAGGAAAAAAAAAAAAAAAATTAACGCTGTCTAATGTTATCCTTTAAAACAGCTTGAAGCCTGAAACTGAATTTTTTTTTGCTCAGTTTCCAAGAACAGATAATTCTAAGGCTATATGAAATTCCAGTGTCAGAAAAGGTTTTACTTTTACAAAACCAATAAATCACTAAAAACAAAACAAAATTAATTCAAACCAATCCCTGACTATACTACTTAACAGTACTAGTCAAATATTTGCACTTGTGATCCATCAATCTACTTTTTAAAAAATAAAGACTACACATACACACCCCTTACCAAAGTAAGAAGGTTATTTTTAAAATCAAGGTTGAAGCCAAATAGCCCATGAAACTATAATATTCTCAATATATGCTGAAAAGTTAAAATTCAACATTTATTTTTGACTTAAACAAAATACTCAATCCAATGGATAAATGATATGTTCTTTAAAAATAAAAACCCATTTATTTATATATTTATGTATGTATGTATGTATTTATTTATTTATGTAATTATTGGTGTTGATGGTTGGGAGGAATGCATGTATATATGTACATATGTATGTATATCTGTGTGTGATGGCTGGGGGGAAGGTGAGAGCAGCTGGCCAGTATAGGGATTAAACCTGTCCTGTAGGGTTAGGGTTAGAGTTATCAGCACCTAACCCTATTGGTGTTATCAGTGTTTTAACCAACTGAGCTAATCAGCCAGCCCCTTAATGCAGTAAAAATATGTGTATGTGCACATAAATAAATAAAATCTCATATTCAGTCCAATCTGCTACAATAGTGTCTACATGACAAATCAGCTCACATAAGAGGGGAACACCATTATTAGTATCACTTAAAAGTAGAACAATCTGTATTAAGCTTAAGGATAAAAAACTACAAACATATTCACAAAACCTGGAAGTAAGATTAGGATGCCCTCTAATACTACTATTTTTTAATACTAGAAACTGCTATCCAATGCAATCAAGGAAAATAAAGGAATTCAGGATTAACTATTATTTGAAAGAAGTCAAACTTCTGACTTACATAAGATACAATCAGAAAATCCAAAAGAATCAACTGAAGAGTTTATCAAACACAAAATTAAAATTCTTAGAGCCAATAGCTTTTTTATGTAACAATCATGAAATGTGCTGCTGAAAAGATTGACAACTCTACTTGAGTCTTTTTAGATGATAAATAGATGAAGAAATACCTTGCTCTTGAAAACACTGATCAGTAATACTGATCAGCAAACTTTGCATTCAGTTAAAACCCTAGCAAATTCAATTCTTACGTAAATTTCTAACTGGAATGTATGCATATGTATAAAACATGTAAATATATGTTCTACAACAGTACTTTCTGAAACTACCAATCACAAAGAATCCAAATGCCGATCAACATCACAATGAATAAATTATGAAATATTTGTATCGCTGAAAGAACAAACAACTTCTACACATATGGTTATTAATAAATCTCACAGATATAATGTTGCTCTAAAAAGGAGGACAAAAAATGTACATATTACATGATTCCCTTCTTATAAAGTTCAAAAACAGGCAAAACAAACTGATGGTAACAAAAGTTACTATACTAGAGTTTCTTCTTGGAGATGGAGGAATAACTGATTGCGACGGGGACTTCTGTGCTATTGGTAAACTACCCCTACATTTTGCCACTTAAAATTAATGTTCACCAGAATGGCTTCTTCTCCACAGCAGGAAAAGAATTATTAAGAGATGTTCCACATCCTTTCAGAGTTTTGAGAAGTAAAATCACTTATACAATTTGCCCTATACGCCAATGCAGGATTTGGTATGGCTATGCCATTACATATCTAGCTAAGTTCAAAATGAGAGATGGGAAGGCTGCTTAATTTTTCTCAATATTTTATTAAATAATGCTGTAAGCTTAGTTTTTGTTTTTGCTTTGTATATCTATTACAACATGTGAAAAAAGTCAAGCGAATCAGGATATTTTGCACATGTAAAAATTTGACAGATATTGCTAAGATGCACAAAAGGCTCTTAACAATTTATGTCTTTACCAGTAATGTGAGAATCTCTATCTCCCGGTCAAACTACCCGGTCTATTTTTAGGTCTCACTACTCTATACCTGGGACTTTAACCAATCATATTTCTCATACATATTTCAACTGTTTAAAAAAATTTTTTTAATACATTATTCTCTAGCTTCAGGGATCTAATAGTATCTTCCATTAGCCTACTTTAAGTTGTCTGAATGTTCATTATCTGAGTCTCAGAAGTTTTACGGTTGCAGAGGAAAGCAAAGTCCTAAAAATGAACATATTTATCATCCC